CAGGTGAAGTACGATCTGATAGTTTAAATTATCAGGACAGGTGGTTAGATACTGAGGATAGCTCCAGCGGAGAAGTTCAGCTGCTATGCTGAAACCGAAAAGATGCAATCAAGCTGGAATAAACCCAAAACAATCGTGCAATGCAAGAAGGGCCAGAAGGAAGATATGAAGAATTATCGCCCAATTTGCCTGCCCTCGCAAGTCTACTAGCCGTTCACTAAGATCATAACCGAAAGACTGTCAACGAGTTTGGACAAACAGCAAGAACGAGAAGAGACAGGATTCTGAAGGAGCTGCAGTGCAAGGAATATTATCTTTACCTGAAATCAGATCATCCAGCGCGAGTTGGAACATCCGTTCCCTTCTCTGTGCATCGCCTTCGTCGATTAATACAAAGTTTTGGACATAGCCAAGTACAACGAAGCGTAGACTGCATTTGCAGAACAGGGCATAAACATCCGCTACGTCAGCCAGCTCATGGAAGCGGTACAAACATCTTGCTGTTTGGCCCCCTCTCCAAATTTCTGCACAGAAAGACGTAAAACAAGGAAACACCATTTTTGCTAAACTTCTCCCGGCCTGCTTGGAAGTGATGTTACGGAGGATGAACTGGAACAGTTGGATTAACCTCAATAGTAAACAGCTTAAACGGATGCCCTGCAAAACGTTCAGGTAACATTAAACGGCGTAACTACTGAAGAGACCAATAAATATATTTACTTGGGGCAAGAGATCAACATGTAGCATAATCGTGTTGGAGTGATTTAATAAAGAAAGAGCACTTGCTGGCGCGTTCTGTTCGCTGAACGGCAGCATCCTCGGTATCATCAGGAAAGAAACCTGCACACCACTTAAATTTTATCGCCTTGCCGGCAATGTTATATGGCTGCGAGACGTGGTCACTCACTAAAAGTCGAGGAACACCCGCTAGCTCACCGAGAGGACAATGAAATGAATAATATTGGAATTTTAACGTCACCACTCCCCATCTCCAACACATTGTTCAGGCAGCGGAGAGGAGCGAAGCACCTCGTTGTCGGAAAAACATAGGAGAAGCAACGTTAGGTCAACCATGTAGCTCCACTTACTGATAGGAGATGGTCGGCGACGATAGTGACTGATACCCTTGCGAGCGGGTTAGGCTATTTAGTCGTCTAGAACGACGATGGGAAGGTTATATCAGGAGCCAGGAAAAACCTGCTTGGAGGAAGCAGGCTTGAAACCGCGAAGAACGGCAGGTTCGTTTTTGCGGGCGAGATTCGTTGCCGATTCCTACTCGATCGAAGTGATTCAAATGATCTTATTACGTTTTAAACTTTTAACATGCATCTATTTCTACCTCTCCGTGGTTTCTAAATGTGGTCAGATTCAATGTCATGCGTAGAAAAATCATCAGCCCAAACAACATCTTGTATATCGAACAATGTAACAGAGGATAAATTTAGAACTGGGTTGTACTCCAAACGGTTTACATTCGCATCACACCCGTTTGAAAATAACGCACGGTGGACTTCAAACGGGAAGAAGAAGAAAAACATACTGTAACTGTGAAGCATACCATTTTCAAACCACACTGCACTGGTAGTAAGGAAGTCAAGATCATGACAACACCACTGTCGGTCTTATTATACGCAAATAGACCTTCACGAAAGCATTTGGTTCAGTCTGTGGAAACGAACGACGAATTAAGCGTCAGAGGTCTTTCATATATTTGGAATCTCAAAATAAATTAATCTCAACCACATAATCTTCTTTAATTTCTAGTTTTGTTTAATTTTAGTTAGTCTTTTCTTCTTTTGCAGCCTGTTCATCTTTCATGTCTATACTTTTCTTTCGCCTACTTGCACTGGTTATGCTCTATTAATTCGTTACAACGTCTAAAATGTATACCTGCAGATCTTTGTTATCATGATTACGATATCTGATGCAGGCTGTTTATAGGTGCTGAAGAAGGAACATCGCATCGTTGTAGATTCAGTTTATAAGTATGTATTTTTTCAGGATTCTAGTGCTTTCTTTAGCTAATGTTCATTATGTTTAAAACGTTTAA